AAAAAAATAACAGGGTGGTGCGTGTGTGGTGATGATGGTGGATGGGTAGAGAGAACTCCATATTTTCCGGCGCATTCCATTCTTGCCGTTGTTTGCTTGGAGCATAGAGAGGTTAGAGAGAGAGAAAGTACAGGTTTTGAGAGAGCTCGCTACCATCATCCGCAAGCTCACAGTCGAAGCCGCAACCAACCCATCACCGTCACAGCTAGCCTATCTCCACGTCGGGGTTCACAAGCCCATCGCCGTTCTGAGCCGAACCAGGCCGTCGCCCACGGCCCAATTGTATGCCGTCCCCATCTCCCCACCATCCGAGTCGGCTGCCATCAAAACCAAGCTCGCAGCCGCCTCCATCAAAACCGATCTTCTTCTTCACGGCCGACTCCTCCACGGTCGTCGCCTTCGCTATCATCCACGACCGAGTCCACCGCCGCTGCCATCTCGTCGCGAACCAGACCATCATGGTTGAGTCCTCCCCATAGCTCATCGCCGGCACCACCTTGCCCGAACCAACCCGTCCTCACCGTCCGTGCATTTTGGGTGGACATCTATGGAGCACATTTTTTGTCAAATATTTTATTCAATTATAAGGCTGTGTTTGGTCAAGTTGGACAGAAAGAGAAACGACAGAGAGAGAGAGAGGAGATGAGAGGGTAGTTTGGTCATTTTAGGTGAGGATTAAAATATATCTTAGGGCATATTAGACATTTCATATCACTTAAGGCTGTGTTTGGCTCCGTTTTTTTAAAATGGGGTGTCATTGTTCAAGTTTGTAAACTTAGGGGGTGTCTTTGTTCAAAAATGGGCTATGTTGTATATGACTGTCAATATGGCAAATCTCAGGGGGTGTTATTGTAATTAACCATTTTTTTAATTATTTATTTATTTATTTTTTGTTACACTATTTTTTATTTAGGTTAGGCTGCTACACTATTTATTACAAATGTCATTTGTTTTGGTGGATTGTTTGTGGTCGTCCGTTCAGCGTTGCAATCGTTGTAATGTATAATTTCTCGTCTTTTTTTAGTTTACTAATCACGGGCGTGTTAAATTACTTCGAACACAATTTTGAGAAATCAAAACATATAATATGTGAAATAAAAAGATTTTGTTTATTACAATTACAAGAAATCTGGTTAATCTACATACAATTACATATTATTAATTTGTGAAATTATAAAATTTCGGGCTTAAAGAGTGTATCAAATTTGAGAGTAGCTATTTTAGAGAAACATAATGTCAAAAGTTGAGGCTTATTTAGTCTTTAAGCAGGACAGCACTAGAAAATGGCTCCTTTCTTTTTTTGTTTATTTCCCAAATAAACCATTAATTTATTTCATCATATCTTCTTTTTGGCTACCTTTTTTGATATATTTATAAAAACAAAAACAGCTAAAGTAAAATTAACAATTGAAAGATATACGGGAAAGAAATAACATATAAATAGTAGCATATTATATATCCAAATTTATGGTACACAATAATTTACATTTTTTAAATCTTGAGTGTGAAAGTTATATTAAAATAAATTATACGAGTGATTCAAAATTGAATAAAAAAGGCAAACTCAGACTCTCGTTATTGTAAGCCTATGGGGTATGGAGGTATGAAGAGAGTCATATATACCTTGTCTTAGCATGCAAAGTTTCAAAGTTTGAGTTCATGACCTCTAAATTATGGTGAAGTAATTTTACCATGACATCAAAGTTCACCAACAAATTCGATGATGAACTGAACCAATCAAACGTTCAACTGAATTCACTCACATTTTAAAAAGAAAAAGAAAAAGAAAAAGAAAAATAAAGATGGTTTAAGGTAGTGAAAATGGGAGCAAATTATGAACGTTAGAATAAGTTGAACTATTTGGATGACTGGTAATGTGTTACATCAGTTAATGATTAATAATTAAAAATACTTAAAACAACATAGTTGAAGGAGTAGATTTAGACTATAGAGTGCACTAGACATACTAAGTGATTGATATGCCTAGAGTAGTAATTCGTTTTGGTGTGTTTTGTTCGTAGCAATACGCTTACGAGCCGATTAGAGTCGACATGAACACGACAAGATTATTACATATGTAAATGACACAATACACATTACCTGTTTAATAAATGGGTTAAGACCTGACCTGACACGATACGAAAAAATACGTTTAAGTTATTTTTAACACAAACATGACATGTTTATTCTACATGTTTAGCTAAATGATCATTTTTGGCATGAACACGACACATTTATCTAACACGTATAGTTAATTGAGGTAAACTGTGTTATAATCGTATTTACAAGGTCAAACATAAATATGATGCGTTTAGTTAGCGAGTCAATCCGTGTTGACGCGATGACGACATAAGCATAATTAGCCCAAACCCAAACTCTCTTATCTCGTGTCGTGTTAGCGTGTCATGTCAAATCAGTTACCCCTAGATATGCCCAATCAATCACAATTCAATGAATTGGTATGCCCCAAGCACCTTAGAACTCCTTTAATTTAGGGGGCAAGTTCAAACGCGCTATCTATTAGTGTAAAATCATAATTTTTTTTAAAAAAATACCATCCGTCAATTTTTTAACAATTCAACTTGTATTATTATAGAGCATCTTGTCCCTTAATATGTGGGAATATACAATATTTCGGGATACTTAGTAGGTTGTCTCTTAATGAAAACTCGTTTATGTTGGAAAAAAAAATATTTTATTTTTATGAATAATGATAAGTAATTCGAAAGTCTAATTTATTAAACAATTTTATGTTAGGAAGAGATGACATCACATTAAATATGATGATGTCACGACTTGTTACTTTTTCTATTATGAGTAAATTACACAGATCTACTTTATAGTTTATCATAATTACATGGACTTTTCGTGTGGTTTGAAAATTTACCCAGACTTCCCTTAAAAATGAAATTATCCTACACAAACCTCTCTTCTGTTAGATCACCAGTTTCTCCATCTTCTTCATCACTAACATCGAGGCTCATGTACTAAATTAAATAAAGTACCCATAATACCCTTATCCCTATTATATATATATATATATAAAATCTTACAAACCCCTTAATAAAGACCCAACTGGAACACCTAAAGTGAAAAGACCATAGCATCATTGTCCAAACCAACCAGAAAAGCTCCATTAAAGAACAACGAATTGAAAAGCTCCATTGAAGAGTTACAACAACCATCTTCGGCGAGTCACCAAGAATTTTAGACTTGAATCCATTGGCACGGACCCAAAAACTAAAATAAGAAAGGATTTCGGGAATCTCCCTCTTCTATTTTCCTTGTATTTTTTAAAATTTTCTAACCTTTAAACAACCCACAAGCCAAATTCAACTATTCACCCCTCTGTGTGCGTGTGTGTGTGTTTTGCCATGGCCAAATCACCGGAAGAAGAACACCCACAAAAGTAAGGGTGAATCCAGAAATGCATAATGGGGTGGACTAATCTATTCTAGGGTGGGCTAGTACTACAATTATTTTATTTTATATTATTATTATTATTTTTTTGGGCTGGGCTAAAAGTACCTCTATTATTAGTATTTTTTTTTGGTGGGTGCCAGTGTACAAAAGTCCTTTGGTTGGGTTGCAAGCGATAGCTCTGGGACTATTTCCCCCTTTAATTTTTCTCGCAGGTATATTTCTATCTGTTTATTTTTTTTAATATCTACATCTATAAAATAATAATATATAATTTATATGTATGTATTGTATTTGTCTATACATCTTAGTTAGGGGTGGCAATTCATGTTCGCGGGTCATAATATTGTCGTATCAACTTAAGGGTATTTTACTAAATAGTTCAACCCGAACACAATCCGTTTAATAATCGTATCAGGAATCCTTAATACTAACCCGACCTGTTAATGACTTATTTACTAAAATAAAATATTATATTATTTAAATTATTAGTAATATTCAATCAAACAATAAGTATTAGAAATATATAAGTTTAAATCGAACCAAATTACTAAAAAATCTTTAATTTATAAAAGAATAAATTATAGATACAAGTTTAGATAGTTATTTTGATACTTAAATAGAAAGTTGTTTATGACACGTATAGTTAAATGAGTATAAACGGGTTATACAAGTTGAACCCTTCAACTCAAATACAATACGATTAACTAAACATGTTAATTGTATCGACCCGTTTATGACTCGAACCCGCTTAACTCGTATTGTGTTTGAGTCGTGTTAACGGGTTGTGTCAAATTTTGTCACCCCTAATCTCAGTAGACACATTCATATTATTTTAAATTTTGGTTCCCTCATTAGAAACACGTGATTGTAGTCTAGTTGTCTCTCATCTGCCTTTTAAAGTGGAACTATTTTGAAATGAAAAGGGTGAAAAGAGATTTGCAGAAGTCCATTATATTTCCCTTGTATTTTTCAGATTTTCCTCTTTTAATTTTTGGCTCCATGGATTCCGACCGATGAATTCCGGTTGAAAACTCCATCATACCACCACCGCCACCGCCAATAACAACGTTTAGCTTTTTGGAGCTCTGTTCGACCCCTCCTACCACAACTTGTTACAATCCGCGTTCGCCCTATTCCATTTCCCTCCTACTTGTTTATGTCTCTCTACAATATTTAGTTCCTCCTCTTTTTCTCTCTAAAAGATTTATATGCTCACACAGATATATAGGTATTTTAGTAATTTACAACAACAATTTAAGGGCACTTCAATAAATTAGCCAGTGCATTTGACAATCTGTCACTACCAAGTAAAGTTTCTAGAATAATTTCATTTTTAGGTGAGGTTCGAATAAATTCTCAAAACAATGAGAGAAGTTAACAGATTTTAAGAAAAATTATCCCTTCTATTATTAAGAAAAATTAACAGATTTTATTGGGAGGTGTAAAACATGTAAGTGTTGCATAGTTTGACATAGGAAATAAAAAGCACGTCGGTTAATCACCTGGGACCGGAAATACCGGCAAGATAGAGACTGAAACTGAATATATAAAAAAAGAGTATACGGCACTGGTGCCATTCCATTCTACTGTATTATCAATTCGCTGCTTTTATTGCAGTCAGAAAATAACGCAGACGCAATAAATCTATATATACACGCACACAAACACATGTATATACTATAGGCGTCATAACATTGAGGTGTCCGAGATATAGGAGAAGAGTCAGAAACGGAAGGCGCGGATCACCGAGCACTAATGGCGGAGAGGTTCCCAATCCTCTTCTCAGCGCTTCTCTTCTTTCTCACTCTCTCTGGTTCGTCTTCTACTTCTCCCTCTCTATGTCTAATTCAATGACTGTTTGGCTGCTAAGAAAATTAAAGAAAAATCAAAAGAAGCTAAGTTGAAAGAATTTAAGAAAATATAATTTTGAAATCTTACTTTTGGGTCTTCAACTCACGTCATCTATGTCAACCAGTTTCTGCGTGATGCCCAATTGTGTGTGTGTGTTTTCTTTGTCTTGGATATATACGAGACATTGAGATATCAAAGATTCAAGTTTTTTATTTTTATTTTTTCCGGCATATTCTCATCAATCAGCAGTATAAATTCCCTATTTAGTTTATGGGTATCTCATTGACATAGTTGACATAGCTAATAAAAATGAACTTCCAGTTGTATCATGAAGTGGTGTGAATTTAGCTCTGGGCTTTGAGAATCAATCTAGATGTTATTCTTGATTATGATTATGCGACTTACATTATTTTGGCTCTAATACTTTAAATTCTTGAAGTTTGATATGGGTTCATTTTTATTTATTTATTTTTCACTTATCATTTATCCATGATCTGTTTTTATTACTATTGATTCTCAAACATTAAATTAATTTTTGTTCCATCCTTGATTTTTTTTTTTTTGGGCATCTTGGATTTGGTCAGAAATATTATTTAACTTTTACTTTTTATTTTCCTTATTAATATCATTTTAGTTAGCTAGTCACTTATCAAAAAAAAATAAAAAATTGTTTGCTAGTCATTAAAATTTATTCATTTCTATATATATATATATTTTTCTTATTCCAATACAAATTTTGATTTTCTTTCTGTTTGGACACATTTTGGCTCCCTTTTCAACTATGTTTTTCAGTTTCAGTTGTTCAAATCCTCGGGGTAGGGGTTGGAATCAACTATGGCCAGATTGCCAACAATCTCCCAACTCCCACCCGAGTTGCCTATCTCCTCAGATCCCTCAACATCAGCAGAGTGAAACTCTACGATGCTGATCCGAATGTATTAGCAGCATTCTCCAATTCTAATGTTGATTTTGTGATTGGACTTGACGACAGTCTTTTGAATATGACTGATCCCATCAAAGCTCAAACTTGGATTGAACAGAATGTTCAACCCTACATTGCCCAGACCAAGATCACTTGCATCACTGTTGGAAATGAGGTTTTATCAAGCAATGATACTCAGTCAATGAGTTATCTCCTCCCGGCAATGCAAACCGTTTATGGTGCTGTTGTTAATCTTGGACTAAGCGAACAAGTTTACGTGACAACGGCACATTCACTTGCCATCTTAGCTAATTCATTCCCTCCTTCCTCGGGATCTTTCCGGGAAGATCTTGCCCAGTACATCCAGCCCATTCTCAATTTTCATTCTCAGACTAATTCCCCCTTCCTCATTAATGCTTACCCATATTTTGCATACAAAGATAGTCCTGATCAGGTTTCATTGGAGTATGTACTTTTCCAGCCTAATACAGGGACAACTGATCCCAACACGAATTTGAAGTATGATAACATGTTATATGCTCAAATTGACGCTGTCTATTCAGCAATCAAAGTAATGGGGCATACAGACATTGAAGTTAAAATTTCCGAGACTGGTTGGCCATCTAAGGGGGATCCCAATGAGGCAGGAGCTACACCAGAGAATGCGGGAATATATAATGGTAATTTGCTGCAACGGATACAGCAGAGGCAAGGTACTCCAGCGAGGCCATCAGTGCCAATTGATATATATGTTTTTGCACTTTTCAATGAGAATCTAAAGCCTGGTCCGGCATCGGAGAGGAACTTTGGGCTGTATTATCCTGATGGTACTCCAGTTTACAATATAGGGTTAGCGGGTTATTTTCCACAGATAGATATAGCTTCAGCTTCCAAGATTAATGTAAGAAACTCTTTACCTCAATTTTTTATAAACGCCATTTATTTTTTTTACAATTTTATTGATGGAGTAAGTTCACTATTGGAGTTTATTTTCTAATAATAGTGAACTTGTTTGCTAAATTAAATAAGTGAAGTGATGCATCTAATGCTAATGTCTTAATTTTGTATTTGCAGGCCTTGTCTGCTGCAAGTCTTCTGATTTTTACCATAGTATGCCTTATCTATGCTTGAAAGCTAGAAAATTTCACCAACATCAAATTGAGGGTGAGGGAAATACAGCGAAAAAAAGAGTTAGTAAAAATCACTCAGAATTTTCTCCCCTATATTTCAAGGGGAGATCTTCTAGGTAATTCCTTATTTCCTTGTATCATTTTATTATTTTTATTATCATTATTATTTGGTTAGTCCGAAAAAAAAAAAAAAAAAAAAAATTGGTAATACATCTAATTTCCTCTTACTTCTATGACCTTGAAGTGTAAATTTCCCACTTGAATAAGATATGGGTGGGGACTCACCCATTCTTGCACTGTTTTTGAATTGGCAAACCGATGATTTTAATGCTGTGACCCCATTCTACTGATCTTTTAAAAAGTTTTCGTGTACTTCATTCCGAAGAGTCACCAAATCCAAAATCACATGGTTATGTCTTTTGAAACATTTATAGGGGTATTTTGAACTCCATATTATCTCTTAGGTAGTATTGGAAGAATTTTTCCACCATACGCATTCACTACCGCTATGTTTGAAAATTTGATTACAGTAGTGGTCAACTGCGTAAACATTCAATTTTGAGAGTAACTCTGTTTTAACATTGTTTATTTAGAGATGGTTATGGGTCTCCATCCATCCTCCTCATCTCCAATAGCTATCATGCGTTTGAATCTTACAGTGAATAATATTCTCTCTGTCTTCAACTATACAAAAGTCCAAATTGGCTTCTATCAGGGAAAGGAAGCTGCCATCAGAGTCCATCTTTCGGCAATCTGCTTCTGGATTTTTTTAATAATCGGCAAAGTTGAAAGCTCATCAGTTCTTTGTCTTCAGCTGCGAGCTTATCTCTGACAATGATTTCCTATTGTCCTCATTTTTTTTTTCCCTTTCTTTCATTTTCTCCTTTCCTAAAGGAGAGAATGTGTTTCATCAGCCTTGGGGTGCAATATTTTTCAATATATTCTGGTGTCATACCAAGTTAATATCAAGGTTCAATCAATCTATAATCTCCCTTCCCTTCATGAAGTAAATATCAAGGTTCAATCTATTAGCAAATTATGATTCCGGATCAGATTATTCCATGTTATTGGCTTTGTAATATCTATTGTAAAATCGAGAAATTATCAAACCGTAAGGTGTTTCTTGGGGTAGCTCTTGTAGGAAAGACCTTCCAAATCCCTTTTGTTGGGTGAAACTGTCATTGTAAATTATAAAATTGTAACATCAAAAGATGCTTGAGCCACAAAGTTGCCTTGGGGCTTTCAACATCATGGAGCCCATGCTTGCATAAGAGTATTCTTGCACGAGTATGCTCCAAAGACGATAAGATTGACAGACGGGCGAATCCACTAGACAGGTTCACATAGTGACTGGCTAGCTACCGCAATATCTGATACCAAGTTGGTAAAACATCAAAGACTTTTTTATTTACCAACCATTTTTTCCCACCATTGTACCAATGAGAACTTGATCCCTCAACCTCTCCGGTAGGAGGAATAAGAGAAACAAGCAGAGACAAAAACCCTAGGTGGTATGATATGCCAACCTTTAGAACGTTATCTCTTGCGTGGTCCCAACAACACAATGGACCTTCTAACCCTTGTGGTTCAAGACTTCTGCATCATTATGGATTTAGCTAATTGACATTAATTGGAACCGAGGAGATCACATAAATATGGTTTGAATTGAGGAAACATTATGCACTTCTATGTTGGTTTGCATCCAATTCTTACAAGGGTCCAGCTTCCATTTTAGTCTAAATATCTTAATTCGAACCATTTATTATGCAGTGGCCGGTAGGCCATATTTTGCAATGTCCATTTAAGATTTTAAATCAACCTTGCTTTGGATATGTACTTATGTGGTAATACTCTGTTCAAGCTCCATGGTTTTTTCTATGATTATATTTTCAGAATATGGCGGTAAGATTTTTTTTATTTCTTGATTATTATTATTATTTTTTTGGTTTAATTAATCCGATGCTTCATTCTTTACAGGGAATCAACCACTGCATAACTTTCATTTTCGTCAAAACCGGTGCCAGATTAGAGCTTTTTTCCTGTTTACTTCATTGGATCCATCATGTACAATGAGATTTACCAAAATTATTTACTTCAAGATCAAGAAGGCCTTCTATTTAAGAGGTAAATTCATCTAGAGACTAGAGAATAAAAAATTAAAAAAAAAAAGGTAATAAAGTGAAACCCATTGCTGGTAGGACTATGATAAGGGAAATAAATTTCTTTAACAAGCATTTTATAATGATTATCTTATTTTTCCTGAATTATAATGATTATCTTAGAGAAGATAGAGAGGGCTTATATGATTGTGTCGAGGGTAGCAAATGGTAGGGGTAGAACTTAGTGACTTCCATTATTATTGTTTTGAATTTTATTATTGTAAAAACTTGTATAGCCCAAGTTGAAAGGGAAAATATTGTTTTGATATTATTTTCTGTATTTCTTTTTTTCCTTCATGGTTCTGTTGAATCTTATCTCCAATTGATTACTGTTCACTTCTTGTAAAACAAAGAGGAATTCATTGTAAAAGATGATAATTCAGGGATGACAAAGTGGTAATTTTGATGTTTGAAATTCAAAACTTCCCTAGTCAGGTGTCTCATATAGCCGTGGAACCACCTGGCTAGTTGGGTGTTGTCAATTGTATCATTGCTCATTAATTGAAAATCCAGAATTCTTGGAACTTCATGTTCAACTTTTCACTCGAGAAAAGGTTATAGTTTTATTCTTCAGCGTTATTTGATGAGTGGCGATACTTAGGCCGATTTGTTAAAGTGAGTAGTTATCGTATCCGATAAGGTTTATGCCTTTCTTTTGCGCTTGAAGAACGACCATTCTGAACATGGGACAAGCTTTCTTTCATGGTTTTTCATGAAGTACTTGAACATCTATTGTCTATTGGGACTGGTTACTTACATGTGTGTGGATTGAGTCAAATCCATTTAGGTCCATTGAATTTTTAGCCACAAAACTATCGGTTCCGTTGGTGTGAACTGTCCTTCTCAAAGGAGAATTGAGCAATTTGAGGAGTGACGTGAGGTGACTCTGTGTTCGTACTGCTTTTCCTAATAATAATAATAATAATATAATATTAAATAATTATATAAAAAGTTCTGTTGCGTGGATTAGAATTTTGGGTACTAGTTTTGAATATACGGCATTGTTTTCTAATATATACGCACTTGTACAGACTAAGACATGTATATAGGCATAAATTTTACACGCAAAAATGCATAAATTAAAGCGTTTGAATCTATTTTTGCTCCTTTTTATTCGGTTGGATGGATGAGGGAAAAATATACTCATAATTTACTATATTTTGGGTCTAAGAGAAGGGAAGGGAGTTTAAATTAGGATATTAGTAATTCACTTATTTTTTTCATTTTTTCTTCTCATATTTGGAGGGATGATTCAGCCCTTCTATTTATCCTTTCTTTCGTCATCTCTTCTTTATCAAATGAAGAAAGTTTATTCATTCTTTTTTGTCTTTCTTCCAAATCTCTTACTTCTTTTGTACCGAACAAAACATAATTTTTTAGTGTGGAGGAAAGTCACATAGATAATTTGAATTAACCTGAAATCAAAGTTCGAGTTTAAAAGTAAAAGGATGGGGTGAGTTCGGGTTGAGAAAGAAGGGTTAAAGATAGAGTTTGGGTCAAATGTTTTATGTGTTGAATTAAATTCACGGTGTACCTGTAACTCACGTTACTCAACCATTCCACACGAGTTGCAACCCTAGATTTGAGTGAGGTTATGGTCAGGAATAAATCCGTATGAAAAGATCAAGATTCATGCAATCCGCTTCAAGCATTTGGACCCTCATTTTAAAAAAAAAAAAACCATTAGTAGTACTACTTCATGATGCCTCCTCCATGTGAGATTGCTGGAATTGGGTTTTAATCTTCAGCATGTGCATCACATGTATCGGATAGTGGTCATCATCTTCATGTCTTTATTTTTGTGTGCATGACCCATGTGGTTTCATAAATTCAATTGCCTATGAATGTATCATGCACATTACTCATTCATCGTCTTGTATGTCTACAATGTAATGACTTGTTCTGTCAACTTCGATAATTTATTTCATGCTCAGAATTGTCACATGACTTAGCTCACACCTTCAAACTCTTTTATGCTTCAACTAGTTTTTTTTTCAACGTACACAAATATCGTGGAGCGTCCGGATTCTCTGTTGTAACGTTTTCAACACAATTAAACTGTCAAAAAAAAATAGAGTACGTTATAAAGAATTAATTAGTCAGTTGGGTATTCGAGAGACAAAAACTCGTTAATTTGATGAGTCATTTTGAATTATTCGCTTAATTTTTGATGAACTTCTTTTCGCTTTCAGCAATTCATGGAAGAATGAATCGGGGAAAAACTTATGACTGCAACAGCTACAAGAAAAGACCTCATGATAGTCAATATGGGCCCTCAACACCCATCAATGCATGGTGTTCTTCGACTCATCGTTACTCTTAATGGTGTAGAGAGAGCTTTCAACACCAATTTAATTGTGTTAAAAACTTTACTCGCAATAGTGGTTTTTTAACATCATCATTTTGATTTCCTGTTGCCTTAATATGACCGTTGGTTGAATATCATCATCATAGTCCTGAGTCCCCACCGCAATTACGTGTTTTTCACATCTTAATTTTTCACTTCTGGTTGCCGTTGCATGTCATTATCATAGTCCCCCACCACAATCATGCTTGTTCAAAAAATATACTAGAAAATATAATAAATTTTACAAGTAACCCTTTTCTAATTCTCTGTGAATATACTGGACTAATGTAAAAGAAAATAGTTTCAAAACTAGCATAGTAGCCAAGCACTATCAAACATTTTTTGCCTTAAAAAAGATAAAAAATTTCTAGAGGATGAGGCCCAAGTCCTAACCAAAACTTATATAATTTCCTCGGAATTTTTTTTTTTTTTTATAAAAATAATATATATATATAAACTGCCTCTTTCAATATCAGCCCCAATTAGATGACTTTCTCAGTCACATATTTTAATTTGAATTCAACTGTAATACAATAGATTAAAAAAAGTTCAGCAAGAAAGAAGGCTCCCCAAATGACATCAGTGTCTTGTAGAAAGTTCCGTAAAGAAAGAAATATATTATTCAATATACATACACAAATCTTTTCCATTTCACATACACTTCCGTATACAAATTTTTTCTCATGAATCACGCTAACATAAGCACAAACAAATAAAAGATAATTAAATGAATAATATATGATACAGCTCTATGATACAAGAAATAAAATAATATCTCGCTCAAGAATAATAATAATAATAATAATAATAATAATAATAAAATTATAAGAGCAGAGCTACTATGCTACAAGAAATGGAATGATCATGGTCAAGAATGTGTCGTAAGTAAGTGTTGCCGAGCCAGTATAACGCGTATCCTTCTCCTTGAACTTCTCTGTCAAACCCTGAAATTGCATTATGCAGAAATCATATGAGAAATAGCTCTCATGTATTACATGTATATTCATTTGCAAAACATGTTTCGAAAACGATTGTTATTTTCGTATCTTTTCAGAACAAGTTAAGCAAATTTATATATTTTGAAAAAGAAGAGCAACGAAAGAAAATAAATGGATTCATAGATAGGTTCAAAGTTCCAAAGGGATTTATGGATTAAAGACCGAGGTTCATTTGCTCACCTTCACAATCATCCCACACCTGCATATATCCAACAAAACACATTTTTAGAAACATTGCCACATCTCATGTTCTTCTGAAACACTTGCCTTGAAGAAAAGAAAGGGCGGGAGGAGACTTACTCAACAAAACTGTCAAAATTCAGTTCAACTCTCCGGCCGGTTCCATCGTCGTATCTGGATATCAGAACTTGAAGAACAGAAGCTGGAACTGCAAATCCAATACTATAGAGAGCATCCCTTAGCTCCAATGCATCAATTTTCCCGCTCCTGTCTCTATCGAATCTCTCAAAAATGCCCTACAAATGCATAAAAAGGGAACGTGGATTTAAAAGAATGTAAAAGTTATCCAAAGTGAATTATATAACATCTAAAAAACAAGAACAAGACAGATACGGGTGATGGATGAAAGGAAATTCGCACAATTTTAGCAACTAAAATGGCATTTCTGTGATTAGGTTGCAAAGATTAAGACATTCTTCCAACAAATATGTGCCTGCAACAGTCGGTGCTGATACACATTGCTTAAATGTACAGCTAAATAGCCTTAACGAAGAAGAAAATTAATAATAATAACACTAGTCTAGTTTGCTTCCACCGAAAATTTCTTTATTGCTCCTGAAAGAATTGAAAGTTTCTTCAATAGAAAGTCATTATTAATAATAATTATACTAGTCTCATTGAACAAGTGTATTGTATAAGCTCAACTACGCATATGTTCCACTTAGTTTTCTAGACAAAATCTTCCAATCGAAACTACAGTGACTCTTCTTCACTGATCAATAGAAGTTCACTCACCATTAATCAATTTCTAGTAAATAGATATAAAGAAAACACATGAATGAAAAAGGTACAAGATTACTCACCCGCCATTGACCGATACAACTCCACAATGCAGCAAACTCTTTAGGACCTGAAACAGGAATTCAAAATCTTCAAAAATTGAGAAAAAGAATAACAACAATACTCAATGAGTTGTCAAATAAACCCCTAAATGAAACAAGACCAAATTTAAATGAAACTTAAAATTGATCACAAATATGCTTGTCAAAATAGTGGCAATAGCCCTCGGAGGCTCGGATGAGTTGGCAAGGGCTTGGCATTGGCTTCAGCCTGGCCAGCGTTCGAACCTTGCTAGCCTCCCTTATCATCCCCAACTTAGCCGGTGTATTCTTAGGGTGCGGTTATGCACCTTAGGCTTGTACCCTAAGGTGAGTTTCGAATGGACCCTGCCTAGAGGAGTTCTCGGCTAAAAAAGAAAAAAAAAAGGTTGGCAATACTTGACACTATTACAGCTGCCCCAATCCTTATAGAACGTACACGCATATAGGTAACAATCAGCCCCTTGATTAGACAGGCCAATTTAACTGAACACGTTTTCAGCCCCTTGATTAGACAGGCCAATTTAACTGAACACGTTTAGTGTTCGTGTTGGAAATGGCTATGTCGACACGAAAAAAATGAATTGCCACCCAAATAGTATGTGCCGGCTTATATGCATATACACATACATGTATGATATACCTACACTGTAAATTCAATTGGAGTTCATTTTTGTTGTTGTTGGCAAAAACGAATACGACAATGAGACCAAATTCCATCAAAATTCAAGCGTAAAGCAGAGCAGAATAATTTTTTTTTCTAGTTTATATAGCTGAAAACCCACAAATCAAGATTGTTCTTCATTTGGGTTTCCAGAAATTTCTAGAAAACTGAGAGAAACAAAATCATTTAAAAAAACTGACCAATTCTGAGAGAATCGTTCGGATTCTTGAAAAGAAACATGAGCAACCGGATAGTCCGAAGGCTGAACCTCTGATAATGAGAAGAGAGAGCTCGCTGCAACTCTGTCTCGTCTATGAACCCACTTCGATCATTGTCCACAGCCTGGAAGGTCCGAATGATATCCGGGTGTGTCCCGGGTGGAAACGAAGGATACCCATGTGATGAGACCGACCCGTAATTGGTCTGATTGTAGTAATTTGGACGGGAAGTCCCGAGTGACTCGGGCATGGGTGGCGCAGAGGGAGAGAAGCTTGCGTAGGAATAGGATTGAGATGGATGAGTCATTGAAGGGGAGTGTTTGGTAACCGAGAAAAGACAAATTGTGAGAGAAAGCTGTGAAAATGTATTGGTATTTTGTAGGGAGAAAGAGAACGAACATATAAATATGATAATGGCGGTTAAGGAAGGGAACGAAGAAGGATAGCGCTGCTGACCAAGTCAACACGTGCCACTCACACGTTTGCTTTAGAGTTTCAGTTTGACTGGAGTCCTAAATTATTTGAATTGTTTACTATGTTTCCTTTGGTTGGGGGGGATGAACATCCCTCCTTGTTTCCTTCCCCCTCCCTCCTTGTTTCCTTTCTAATTTAACTTCTTTTTTTTTTTCCTTATCAATTCAATTAAGTTGTTTGATCGAATAATTATCGATTTGATTAGCATTTTTGTGATTTTAAAATGTAACCCCACTAATTTACTATCTACATTTGAAATTTCAAAAGTTGCAAAAATGAGATACCATCAAAAAGATCAGTAATGCCATTGGAAAGATTAACTAAAATTTTTTTTTTTTTTTTGAAAAATTAAGCAAATTTATTTAGTAAAGCGGATAATTACAAGAGAGAGCTTTCCGGCCCAACCAAAAGAGGAGAACAAAAGCCAAAAAGATTGACCCAACAAGGGAGAGGCCCAGCTTCAACCTAATAATTGCAATTAACGGTTTGTTTGGCTGTTAATTGAGAGTATTAGGGAACAATCCGGTAAGTAGCCCTAGAGAAGATGATGATCATCGGAGGAAAAGTCAGTCCGGCGGCCTCGGAGGAGGACGGCAGTAAGCAGGGGAGAGATTCCAATCTGAGAGAATCTTCCTCGAATCATCACAGTCTCGTAAGAAACTCAATTTAAGCGTTGCAATGATAGTTGCTGAGATTCGAGCAAGCACCATTCTTTGAGATGATCTCTTACCTCTGAAAATTCTTTCATTTCTTTCCTCCCAGGTGTGATAAACCATGGACGAGAGGCATAATTTGCGATGTAGATTTGTTGGAGAGTTCCTTTTCCATTGCGTAGAAATCAATTGAATAAGATCCTCCTAGTTAGTAATGGTAGTGAAGAAGTTACATTGATGAATTGCTAGATAGGAGACACAAAACTACATGTGAGGAACAAATGCTGGTGTGATTCCGAGTGTGATTGACAAAGAGCACAAAGGTTGATGTGGTTGGACATTGATCTGGTATCAAGAGTGGGCAACCTGGATTGCACAGCTAATCATAGGTTGAATTTCATCCTAGGATTGTAGGAGAAATCCAAACTAGGTTATGTCAATGGACTATTTGCGAGTGCTCTATGAGGAACAATGATGTGTGCTTGAAACTGAACTTTCCATTAGGAGATGCCAACCAAATCTTAGTATCACTTCTTGAAGAACATGGCGAGGGCTGAAGTAATAACTCGGGGATGGCAAAGGAAAGGCTTATAGGAAATGACCAAGATAAGTTTTGAATGAAAGTGTCGACTGTGACTGATTTATTGAAACCTGCATCTGTAAGGACTGTAAGTGGAAAACGATTGCAAAGAGGTCCACTTGAGGACCAGTTATCAAACCAAAATAAGGTCTCAGAGCCATGTTTACATACAAGGTTTTAATAAAGAAATGACCCAATGGACTCAGATATGTTTACGTACAAGGTTTCAATAAAGATTTAATGTAAAGTGAGTAAATAGAATTTTGTGAAAAAAGCCATGGATGATTTCCCAATGCAAAATGAACTTTGCAGCTGAAATAAATAAAAACAAGGGCAAGGTGCCCAAAAAAAAAAAATAGAGAATTTTAGGTTTTTCAGTTTTCAAAATTTATTATTTTTAATAAAAATTCTATTTTTTTTTTTTTTTTTTTTTTTTTTTTTTTTTTTTTTTTTTTTTTGTAAAACTCCCAAAAACGGTTTTTTTTTTTTTAAATGTAAAATATATTTGTCAAAATTGACCACTAAGCAATTTTGTATAAAATTTTAAAATACAAGAATTTATATTCACTTTGAAAAAAAGGGGAATTTTATATATTTTTTATTCACCTTATCCATAAAATAGAGAGCCACTTACTTTGTGGTAGGTTGAGAAAACGTCATACATGATGCACTAAGATGGCTTATCTGCATCCCCAATGTGGTCTATTTCAACAGTTAACATGAACGTTAAGTATTTGAATAAATTTTAAAATATATATATTATATTTAACCCCATAGATTTATATAAAACTTGTGTGTGGCAGACTCCACCAATTATTTTCCATTAATATATATCATGGCAGGTAGGCCTATCACTTGTAGGGCCCATAGTAGGTACAACTAGACAACATACATCTATAAAAATGCTATTTAGATTTTATTAATTTCATCAGGAATGAAGATGGTAAGCGCAAACAATAAGAAAAACTCTTAATAAAAAGAAAAACTACTTTGTGTTTGATTGTAATACATATTGGATTAAGAAATGAGAGAGAATTTGTTATTATTTGTCATCGGTTGGCGATTTTGATGATCCGAATTCGTTTTGATTGTAATTGAAATTGATAAATATTAGATGATAGGATTAAATTAGAAGTTGATAGGGACATTAAATATGTTAATTCAAGGGTGAAGGGAGAGACATCATGTCAAGGAATAATTTTAATTATTGTTTATAACTTTGTATTTGTTATTGGAAAATTTTATAAAGAAACTGTTGCAATTGATAAAAATGATAGTTTTTTTTGTAATTACTTGAACATTGGCATCTTGTGAATGCATTTCATGAATTTTGTGTCTAAATCATTTTACCTAATTCATGTTAATTTCATTTATTTTGTTAATATATAGTAGCCTTAATTTTACTCAGCTCTACATCATTTGATGTTAAATAAATAGCAACAGTAAAATTGGTTTTTAAATTTCAAAATATCTTATATTGAGGTATGGGAGAAAATTAGATGACAAAAAAGAGTATTATATAGTATCGCACCCTCTAGTGAAAGGAAATAGACTTAGTGAAAGGAAATAGATTTACAGTATAAAGGTTCATTATTTGGACATAAAATAACAAATTGTAATTAAAAGTTAAAATTTTTCAAATTGAAGAACGGTTCTAAATTTGCTGAGAAACAAGACAGATCAGATCATCGTAAGGCAAGTGCTTTAAGACTGTCCATGAGGCGGCGTCGACGGGAAAGAAACCCTTCAAACCCCGTACAAGAGTCGAGGGACAACAAAACCCGACATAGATCGGAGATCTAGCCAGAAACAAAAAAATAGATCTACTTCGTTAAAGTAAGAAACAAGCTTAACATGAACAGATCTAATAAAATAATAACAAAACGGCATAAAAATTCACCCACTAAATAACTAATTACAACACACCGAGTTTATTATGCGATGAGAGGCAAGGATCGGCATGTCCCCACCCCCATGGGAAGGGGTGGGTGGGGAGCAAAACATAGAGAGAGAACATGGGGGCTGAGGGTAGAGAGAGGCGAGAGAAAAAGTAGAGAGAGAAAAGTGGCATTTCTAATATTAGACAACCCAGAAAAGATGGAGAGTATTGAATTTAGTATAAATAATATTATCACAACAAAGAGAAATATTTGAAATTGATAAAGGGTTTTTTCTTTTCCATTCTATGAATGACCTCACCACACTCCTTTATTAATCTTTTAACTACTCAGTTTTCATCAAATTTGATAATCAGGCTCAGTCAAATTAGTCATGTAATTAAACAACATTACCAAATTACTTGTAATTACAGTAACATTTCACAAGTTTCGTAACAACAACATCATTACAAATGTAACTTCCGAAAAAGAAAAAAAAAAAAACATTATTATAAATGCACACGCTCCCATTAAGATTAAAGAATGTGGTTTTTATCTCTATTTCCACACCTAAAACAGAAAATGTGTGTGTTTTATAAGAGCATGGATATTATTTAGAGGAATAAATACTATTTTTTTTTCTTCTTAAATACCGTTTATTCTTAGGGTGTGTTCCACTGAATTGGAGCTTGGAATTGAAATTTATAGAATTTGAAAATAAATTGGTTCAATTTTCTTAGATATTTTTCTTAAATTTCATCAATTCCAATTTATATGGTACAATTCTATATAACCGAACACACCCTTAAAAGTAAAATTTTAAATGAAGTAGCCTCAACTTATTATACACAATTTATAACTAATATTCAATGGTAAAAAAAATGATGAGGTGTTCCATTCTGAGAATCAATCATTGGTAATGTGTTGCCGAATTCCATAATTAAAATTCGTTTTGATTGTAATTAAAATTGCTAATATTAAGTCATATGACTAAAGTATAGGGTGATGGGATATTGAATATCTCTGATTCTGGGTACTGTTTATAATTTATATTTGTTAAATTAATAAAACATTAATTTTGTATGAATACATTTCATCAGTTATGTGTGCAAATCGTTTTGTCATGATTCATGTTAAATTCATTTATTTTAGAGTTTTATTGATATATTATGTCTCAATTTTATTTAATTGTGAAATTTTTTTTTTTTTTTTAACTGTTGGAGATGGTCTTTTATAGTTGTAAGTACAAAATATTTTATAATGAGATGTTGGAAAAAATTAAAAGTTAATTTAAATATTTGTATTGTGGCAACATCCTATTTAATCTTTGTAAAACTTTATTAATTCCAATATTTCCATATTTAAATCACTCATTCCAAGAATATACTGACTAACGTCGCATTAGTTAATTCAACTGATGCTAAATTGCTAATAACTCCTTATAAGATGGCATAGTCCTTTCAGTTAATTCAGCTGATGCTAAATTGCTAATAACTCCTTATAAGATGGCATAGGCCTTTCCTATGGTGCTCGCACCTGAGTTCCTTACCTTTTCCGATCAACAAGACGATAAGTTTTCAAGTTGCCGATAATATATAACAAAAGTTTCTCGCTTGTGATGGCAAATTTCATAACTCGTTTTGATTGTAATTAAAATTAATATAATTAAGTCATATAATTAAATTAGAGGGAGACTAAATATCTCAATTCAAGACTGAAGATACATATGGTGTCATAGTGACCATTCAGATTACTGTTTACAATATTCTATTTGTTATAAAAATAAAAAAATAAAAATATCAAGAGAAGGTTGAGCTTGGAAAAAGGGTAT